CTTTTTATTAATTAACACACCCACACTCACACACAAACACACACACACACACACACACATACACACACACTATATATATATACATATATATATATATATATATATATATATATATATATGTTTACAATATTCTATAAATTCTACCGAATGTGTGGCGTTAAAATGTGTGTAGATCGTTTTTTCAATTTTTCTCACTAAAGTTGAAAAACTATAAAAAATATTTTACGAAAAACTTTAGTGAGAAAAATTGAAAAAACGAACTACAAACATATTAACGCTAAACATTCGGTAGAATTTATAGAATATTGTAAAAATTATGGTCTATTACCAACATATATATATATATATATATGCACATACACATTACGTATGCATGCGCAAGCACCGCATCGTACGCATATGAGCATATGATGGTTTCATGGTTTCGGACAAACAGTACACGAATCATGCCATCGCTTATGTATTTATGTGTGCGCATGATTTTGTGTGTGTGCTTTTTGTTCTGCTCGTATGTAATATGTTGCATTTACCAACAGCAAGGGTAGGCAAACTACGAAAGCTATTTTATGCGGCCCGCGACGCCTTGTTCGCCAAAAAATGTCGTCAGCCAGACATTATGACCAAAAGAAAGAACCACAAATTTTAAAAAATTCTCTCGGGCCGAAAAATTTTGTTATTTAAGTACATATGCTGCCCTTCAAAGGTAAAATAATTCTCAATGCGACCCTTACAGCAAAAACTTTGCCCACCCCTGACCTTTATTATTACAAAGAGTTTTTGTTTTATATGTTAAGGACTCTTTAAACAAACAGGTTAGAAAAGGCGCAACAGGCGTACCAGCGTATTCTGATTATCCTGAATGCTTTCGAAGCTTTGTAATAATGAATTGCATTGTCTAATATAAATTTATATCGACGCACGTTTGTGTAGTGTGCGTGATGTGTAAGTGTGGTGTGTGTATGTGTGTGTGATGTGTGTGGTGTGTTTATTCGCGTGCGCGTGTGTGTGTAGTGAGTGTGTGTGTGGTGTGTGTGTGTGATGTGTCTGTGTGGTGTATGTGTGCGTGTGTGCATTGTTGCAGCAAATAACTTGGCAGCGTTCATTAATTATTCATTCAGCAGGTGAACAACAAAAACCTGCGACCATAATTGTTTCATTGTTTCACTGCGGTAGGACGATCGTTACCAGCATGGACGCCAGGCATTGAAACATATCTGCATGCATCTTTTATATTATTAGGCATTATTTTCAAAGAATTAATTGTTGTTTGTATTTGTATGACGTCAATGGCAGTGCTGATTATAATCCTAATGATGTTAGTATTATAAATTTATTGACGTGTTCCTTCGGTAGTCATTGTTAACCAGTCAGCATTGTTATATATATATATATATATATATATATATATATATATATATATATATATATACACCATTTACATGGATACGTCGTACGTATATATCAAATACTTTGAGTATGACGAAAATAGATTTTTCTAGTGCTGCATCAAATTAGTGTTTCCAGTTTTATAAATATTTGACAATAGATCAACATGTAACTTCATTGATGAAGGAATGTTCTTTTCAACTACGTCAACTGCGCCAGATAAGAAAATGTCCTGACCGGAATGGTTTAAATTTGTTCGAACAAGCATTTGATATAGCCAAATTGGATTAACGTAATAGTCTATTGTATGGAATATCCGTAACTCGTGGCACAGACTTACTATGAGAGAGAAAATCTTGTTTAAATTAGAAATCTTAGTTATTAAATGTTTTAATAATTTTCCACCGGTTTACTTGTCAGACAAATGTATCAAAGTTTTGTCACTTGAGGTCATCATCGTCAAATATGCTCCACCTTATGAATACCAAATTGAAGTCAGCTAGCAAAGAATTTGAAATTTCTGGACCCACGTCCTGAAACAGTTTGCCTGATATTTTCGACAGAATATATTGACGTTGGCTCAGTTCAAGAAACGATCGAAGACATATCTTTTTCAAAAATTTTGCAGTGTCAACCAATGAATGTTGAGCACTAATATAAAGTCTGAATTGAATCTTCTGCACATAAAAATGAAAAGCACAACGTGATGTGCATTTGTTGCATCTTACAACTTGTAATCATGGCTCCATTAGCTTGTAAGCAATAGTCTCAAAAGTTCAAACTCAGCGAAAAACCTTTTTTTAATACATTCAAATATATAACCTAAAAATTAATTACAACCTAATAAAATTTGTATTAACAGATTAACACCTCTTCGTTGATTTTCGTAAAACATTTTTTATTTTCAAACATATGCATAAAAACAAACATACTTTTAGTCATACTTGTGTTGAAAACGTGTGTGATTATACATGAACATGATACGTTGACATATTTTGAAAAACAGATTATACAATCATAGAATTTGGTGTTAATGTCTGATAATTTAAAATTCATAATCATAAATATATAAAACGATTTTTCGCAAACACTTAAGAAAAGTATTTGATTACAAACATATGTACTTAAGTTCACGTCATTGCTGCCAGTATGGCAGTAGTATTTAAAATTCTCTTCAGCCATTCAAAGCCCAGTTCACTACTTATTGTCATAATCAGAGCCTGATTTAGTGTCGTGCTGTCTAGCTGCATATTTCAACAATCAACTGTTTCTTTTTTTGCACTTGAAGATCAATACTTAAAACAACACCAATATATTTTATCATACAACAATCGCTTGTGAAGATTGCGTGGTGGTGCCTGAAACCAGAAGAAATAAGAGAGTTCAGACGGTGCCATCCCAACCACGTCAACGAAACCTAGATTATTTTAACTAATTATAAAAAAGATAGACACTAGTTCCATAATCATTACGTCAACACTTTTTAAAAATAAACTCTCCAAACTTGAAAATGTTTTAAAAAATAGGTCAAGCGAAACAAGCATTCTGCTCTGCTTGCAACAAAATAGAGCTTCATGCTTATAGTGTTAATTACAATCTACAGGACGAAATTGAATTTTCAGTGTTTACCGGACTAATATATCATATGGGTATTACTTTGAAAAAATTTTAGGCAAAGACTCAGTTATTTTTTGTGAGTTTAGCTATCGGGTATATAGTATTGTTTTTATTATCTTATCAATGTTTGTTGATGTCATCCCGATTTCGTTCAACCTCAAAATAGGTATCTTAAACAACTTCCAACTGGATAAGTCAGTGTTCATGAAGGATGGTCTGACATTCCAGAACGCTCGACAAAAGTGCATGCTGATGAATGGTGACATCATGTCACTTGTTGATGATGCCAGAACAGCCGCAATGTTGAAAGCTGCAAGTGCAAGCGTGCAAAAGTATGAAAACTTTTGTTATGTTTGATTTTGAGTTAAAAGAGTTTCTGAGTTAGAGTTGTTAACAATTATCGGATTGATAATAACGGTTAAAAAGTTTTAAAACTTAGTCAAGATGTTTATGATAGCGTTCAATGTTATCCCAGCATTAATGACTTACACCGTGCACCGCACAAAATTTTTGTGTTTTTTATGATGTAACTTCCAATTTTTAATGCTTTTTACTGAATGTATTTTTACTGTTATTTATGAACTGAGAACATTTGCATTTGACCTTCATTGAAATTCTAACAGAAATCGGAATTTTTTGAAATGGATCAGTTTTTCAATATTTTTGATCATTGTCGGCTTTATAAATAAAAATATTTTAATATTTTATATTTAACTACGTAATATATTTATATACGTATTACGTAATATATATATATATATATATATATATATATATATATATATAATCGAACAATATACATATGTATATATATTATATTTCTCTATTTGGTGTTATTAAACATGTTCAATTTTTTTAAAAATCTGAATAATACGATCTAATTTTGAATATACCTAGGTAACTCCGACATTTAATTCTGAGCAAAAGTTCAAAATGTTGTCAGGATTACGAAACTTGATAAATTCTGTCAAAAACTAGGATCTCCGTCAAAAATTTTATTGGAATCTAAACTTGACAGTATATCGAAATTATTTCGTCGAAATGTTTTTTCAAAATATCCAATTTCAAAGAAATTTGGAACTTGCGATAAAAGTCTGCAGGAATGCTGACCTTGTGTACATGCCTTTGCAAATATAAAAAATTTTTAAATTTTAAAAATTAAAAAATTTAATTAGTAAGTTATTACCAACCCATTCATTCAGAGTTTGGGTGGGATTGTTCAGGATGAAGACTGGACAGACCTACCAGTGGACTGAGGAACTGATGAAACTTTCTTATGCTGCCAAACAGATAGGTTAGTACGATTGACTCGTTTGTTCGTTTTTTGTTTGTGTTGGTTTTTTTAGCGTTTTTAAATTTTTCGTTAAAATTTGTCGTCACGCACAAACGCTATCGTGTAAATGTTTTATTATGTTCCGGTGCAACCTCGCATGCGTCGAAGTGAATGCACGAGCAATAAAATGTATTTCTGCTTTGTTTGCCTGCAATAGTAAAAACGCATGTTGGAAGCGCATCAAAAAGTTATGCCGCATGTCTTCAATCGATACATTCTTCTTAGACAACATTCCACTTATTCATTATAAGAAATAAAAGATATAATGGATAAAGAAGAAAGACTGAAAAAAGACATAGTATATTAAGTGATTAATAAATGTAAGCATGCTATCTTCTATATAAGTGTGTCGTTCGTTTGTCAGTGTGTGCGTGTGTATGTGTGTGCCCAAGTTATGGGTTTCAACCCGAATAAGTGAAGCCCATATGAAAATCAAAATGCAAATGAAAATCAAAATGCAAATGAAAATCAAAATGCAAATCAAAATCAAAATGCAAATCAAAATGCAAATGAAAATCAAAATGCAAATGAAAATCAAAATGTTGTTACAAAATATTATAAGGTTAGCCACGAAGTTAGAATAAATATTTCACAACGAAGTTGGTTCAAAAATTCTATTTAATCGTAAATCAATGAAAAGTAAAAATGCAAAAATATGCAAAAACATGGCTTAAAAATTTTCCTTTGTTCAAAAAATAATGCACGCTTGAACAACGGAAAACATTTCTTCATTTTTTTCTTCATTCAAGCGGCTCCATTCTAACGACCAACATTTTCGAATGATGCAAATTATTTGTTCTATTTTCAGCCATCGTACATACATGTGGATGTGTGTTGGTGATGCCTCCCATTTGAAGTTCTATTTATGTGTATGTATGTTTGTGGAACCTTCCATTTAAACATCAATTTATATGATCGCTCATTTCACAGAAATGTACCACAAATTGTAAGTGTACCTCATTGCTCTACAATTTTTTTTACACATACAATATGTAAAAATAAAATTGCTATACAAATTTATTTTTAGTAAAATAAAAAATGTTTGTCGGCAAGTTTGAAACAACGTAGTAAATTTTTTTTTTAATAATTTGATACTTGTGCAATTAAGAACGTGCAGGCTATCTTTACGCTTCTTAATAATATTTTAATGATCAATAATCTTCATTCAATTTTTAACTTTTAAAACTTTCTCTTGTTTTGTGCTTTTTTTTCATGATTTCAAAATAATTTTTTGAAAGAGTTGATTGTTAAACTATCAGCTTGATAAGAAGCATATATTTAAAACAAATTAAAAATTTCTTTAGCACTCCAAAATCAGCAAGACTAATGATTTTTCTTCAATGCACACAAGAGATTATAAAACCATCGTTTAGATTCAATGCGCAAAAGAAAACGTAGATATGAAACTTTCAATTTTAGCCCTGTCTGTATCATCACCCTCAACGAGTTCGAGACGTGTGCCATGTAGTGGACTATGAAGTGTGCCATGAATAACAGAATAATTATTGGAAATATTGAAATGTCAAAAGTCATATAAAATGAAAACTTGTAGTACAGTGCAAGTGAACAACCACAGATGTCAATAACAACCAGAATCGAAGTTGCAGACGGACACATCAATACAAAAAAGGAACAACTAAAATAGAAGAAATTGTCAAATCTATTAAAGTTATATACACATACACACAAAACACGCATACTCACATACAATCTGCAGTCTATACATTATAAATATATAGCCACAAATGATAACTGTATTAACAACTAGTACAAGCCTAATGGTAATGCAATCCACTCAATTAGCAAACAATCCAACATATAATTTAGAAATAATTTGTACATTAAATGAAAGATATCGGTAAGGAAATAATCATAATTAATACTATTAAAAATTAGTAAACCTGTTTATACAATAAAACTCAGAAGAAAAAAGATTCGATAATTTTATACCAAAAATGAATGTGGTGGATGAAAATAAAGCGATTCGTGACAAACGGTGTTAGACAAGTAATTAATTCTAAACAATTAACTTAACTAAAAATAATAAAACTTTAAATAAATAAATAAATAAATAAATAAAGGTTAGATACAGTTAAAATTTTAGATTTAGAAAAACAATGTGAAACTTGGTCAAATTTTCTCTAGATTTTAAAACCTATTGTACATTATTAGTTACGTTCAGACGATCAATATTCTCTGCTGGTGCTTGCCTAAAACGCAATTGGTCAAGCACAATATTTAGAACAGCTCGCCACACAGTCTGCTTCAACCTGGATAGACATTAGAAACATTTCTTATAGAACTAAAAGCTCAACTTTTTTTGTGGTAACACACTCGATTTCAGCAGCACCTTTCATTAGTATAAAAGGGCGTTATATAAAGACTCTAATGATATAATAATAATGGAATTAACAACACTATTATTAATCAAAAAATAATTAATGACGTTAAAACTATTTTTAAATATAAGAAAGGAATTCAAAAAATAAAATGTTAATACACTTCTGTTTCATGGATAATGAAAATAATGGATTTCGTATTTTATTTTTGAAATTTTGATCTACTCATTTCAAAGTAACCCCAAAAATTTTAACAACAACGACGACGAATGCATCCCATGTTAAAACAAATAAAGAAAATTTTCAAAAGTTATCGATCCAGCTGCTTCTTTAAAACGATTTATCAGGAAGACGACACGAAGTTCATTGTTTTTTCTAGTCACAAAAAATATAGCGAATGAAAATAGAAAAAATGTTCATTGAAAATATTCAATTAAATAAATGAATGGTGTTTTATGTTATACATACAAGGTTTTTAAATTTATAGCTAAATTTATCTCATTATTTTTTAATATTTATTGATATTTTTACACGACAAGAATAGAAAATTATGCAACAATAATAAAAAAAAATATTTCGACGTTATGAATGAAAAAAATAGCATTAAGTCTTCTGTTGACTGATGTGATACCTCATTAATTGCTCCACCATTTTTAACGGCCCGTTCCTGTTTTCACTGATGACGTAGACGTTGTCATGACGATTAATGCTACGGTCCATGTACACAACTTACATTAGTTCTTTTAAATATGTTGAAATATAATATTGAATGAAGGATAATTTGACAAAAAATAGCCATACTATATCATCAGAATGACTGAAGAGTTAAGTGCTGTACACCTAAATTATTTTACTTGGGTTTAGATATATTAGCTGATCGGAAGTCTGATAGCATCAGGTTGTAAATGTGATGTGGATATCAAACGAAGGATAGCTATGGCGAAAGATGCATATTCTAAAATGAAAAACATCTTCACCAACAGTTAAATCAGAATATCAACAAAATTAAAACTTAGGGTGTTACATTTTTCCTGTGCCAACTTACGGCTCTGAGCTTTGGACAACTTCTAAAGAAATGGAAAAAAGATTTAACGCTGCTGAGATGTGGTTTTTGAGAAGAATTATGTAAATTAGTTCGATCTCACATACTTCGAATGAAGATGTATTAAAACAGCCCGGTTATGAAATGAGGAAATTACAACAGATAATCCAACGGGGGAAGTTAAAGGTTTTTGGTCACATCATGCGGAAGGAAAGAATGGAAAATCTAACAACTACTGGAAAGATTGCAGAGAAAAGAGATCGCGATCAACAACGAATCACATTCGTGAAGTCTCTGTGTCACTTGTTGAATATCACCACATTTCAACTACTACAAAGTGTTAAAGATCGGATTTTGTGGAGGTCGATGCTCGCCAATTTCCTGAAAGGATAAGGCACGAGAAAGAAAAAGGTCTTTCAAGTTAAGTTTTGAGCAAACTAGAGTTTGGGCTCGGAAAATATAAATAAAATATTAAGAAAACACAAAAGTCGCTATTCCTTCGTTGATTAAAAGTCCTAAAAACGTATGTAACATATGAGCAATGATTTTGTCAATTCTTAGATTTTGCTGGGAGGCAGAGATTGTTTTTTATGAGTGTTTGCTGATTGTCATAGAAGTATTTTTCTACAACTGACTTTTCATAAACCTCCAAATTGCTGGACAAATATAAAAATGGGCCATGTTTGCATAGTTTCGGAATATGGTTTACAATTTTGAAAACTGGTTAAAAAATTTTCCGCAAAACTAAAGTTTCACGTTATTGTTTTCAGTAACAATTTTTTAGTTTAACTGATAACTAACAATGTTAAAAATTCAAGCAATAAGATTAAAAAATTGGTAAATTTAAAGTCATCAGTCCCATTTTATCAGGAGAAGTTTTGTATATAGTTTGTTTAAGGTCACAAAAAGGCCAAATTTCAGTAAATTTGAAAACGAACGGTTCTTTATATTTTGGAAGCGAAAAGAAAATATTAAGTTAAATTTTGCAATGAAATTATACAATATTATAAAATATTATAAAAAAAATATTATTTTTTTATTATTATATTTTATTATTAATATTATTATATTATAAAATGTTGGTTTTGTAATTCTTTGCAAATGTTTGTTTATTTTAATTATTTTAAACATTGCTTGAAAAATTTTTGGGGATGCGGCTACGGCTAGCAAGTGTGTTAAAGTCTTAATCTACACTAGACTGTCTGATCAAGAATTGCTTTTCAAGAATTGTTTCTGGAAAACAACAATGCCTTGGCCGTGGATTTTCTACAAAAAACTTTTTTTCTTTATCTTGTTCTTATTATCAAGAAATTTGAATTACATTTGAATTTCTTGATTAAAACAGAAAAAAATTGCCATTGTTTAATTTCATATAATATTGAGTTTTAAGATATGAAATAATTGCTTATATTAAGAAAATTGGCTCTTGGCTCTTGCTAATTATGGGTAGGAATATATTGTATTTTTTTATTAATAGATTACTACACGAAATGGAAAGCTGGCGATGATCGATCAGGCAACTGTGTTGTCATGGATACCAGCACATCTAAATGGGAAAGTGTTGATTGTAGAGCTACAGTATACCCATTCATGTGTGCCATTTATGCAAGTGCAAGTACAGGTTGTTATGAATTACTTGATTGAAACTGTTTACACGGAATTACTTGATTGAAACGGTTTACATCGCATTGATATGTAAACAAATATTATCATTTTAAAAATTGTCATCATTGCATTGAAATAATGATAAAAACCGTAATACAATTCAAAGTTGTATGAACAATCTTTCAAGTTAAAAATATTAATTAACATCATGCAACAAATTTGTTATTGTCAGCAACAAATGATAAAAGGCAAAAAAACATGCACTGTCCAATTATACAGGAAATCAATCCAAGCTAAACGACAGTAGTCAGTTTGATGGAGCTTCTGTAACATTTGCCCCAGACGACAACGCCAGCGTAAACAAAGTGATGCTCTACGTTCTCCTCCCTATTTTTCTCATGTGCTACGTCAGCTCATGCATTGCTTATTGCGTATACAAACTTTGGCTAAACTGTGCAAGAAAACCACTGCTGGAAAAAATAGAAGCTTTAAAGTACGAAAATGAATACAGTGACAAAGATCCGATTATCGAAGCACCCGCCAGCAATATCGCAGGCATCCATAAAAACGCCAATATGGAAGCAATGATAGCCAAAACAAAAATGCTTTCTGATCCTCCGTTGAGAAGTAGGATCGCTGAAAATAACAAAAATCAACCAGTAGCTGCAAATAGTCAGGTAACAACGAGTGGCTCCACAAATCCGAGTAGCTCAGCTTCCGGAAATGGTTCGATGACTGCAAGCAGCGACGAGGCAGGAATGAAAACATCCATTAACGAAATATTGATGAATAAATTGAAAGCAAGAGCTAAGGCCCAAGAAAAGAACAAAAACGTTTTTTAACAATTCGGCAACATTTTAAGGAAAAATATTTACTTATTTTATTATAAATAATATTTTAAATGATTTATATGATAGTTTTATTATATAAACTGAATTGACACTCATTTTAGATGCAATGTAAACAATTTTTTGTATATATACGTGTGTGTGTGTGTGTGTGTGTGTGTGTGTGCGTGTGTGGTGTGTGTGGTGTGTGTAGAGTGAGAGTTCATTATTCTATATTTATGTTATTTAGGTTCATAAGCAACCCGTTTAATTTTTAATTAAATTTCTTCAACTTCTTTAACTTCTTTAATCCGATTAGCCAGTTTTCATGTTTAATCATATTGCATATTGCTTTATTATGCATTAACATATCATTCAATTGGATTGATTTTTTCTATATCGTACAATTTATGAATAATTTTAAAATCTTTTAAAATTAAAAAATAATGGTTCATAATTACCTTATTTTGAAGGTATAGGCTGATAAAACATTATATCACGTTAAGCCAATTCTTTTTTATCTTCACTGGCTTCTGGTTTATTAAAGAGTTATTTTCAAGATATGTTTCACATTTTCAAATGTATTAAGGGAGTCGCTCCTAAATATTTAACTGATAGAGTCATTCCCAGAACATTTCCGCTGCTGAGTCAAACATTGCGCTCTGACAATTCAGGTTTACTGTACCGGACACAAACTTGGCATTTGGTCGAAAGAATTTCTGCGTAGCGGGTCCTGCTGTCTGGAATGGTTTGCCTAGGGACTTTAGTAATCCAGCGTTGTCTGATATTCAGTTTCGTAGAATGTTGAATCTTTTTTGTCCAAGTTCAACTGTGCTAATAATTTTTCTCCATTCATTACGTTGCCTCAGACGAGAGTTGAAAAGTTCTTTTCGCAATAAGACAACAATATTTATTTGGTTGCTCATATTCTATTTTTACCTTTATTTGCCGTCCATAACATTGAACACACAGAAAAATTGAATTTCGTACTTGGGCTTAACGTTGACCTAAAAGCATTTGCGTTATTACATTACATTATATTTTATTAGCTTTGACTAATCACCCAAATTCGTATCGTTTAGGACTCGTTCGAGACCTTCCTGCACCGATATTACCAAGGTGCGGTGACTGACAAATTGTAATCTTATTTTGCATCTTTCGAGTTTAGCCGTTTATTTTTGGAAAGAAATAATCAAATAAAACCGAGGCAGCCATTCTTTCCTTGACAATTACAACAAATGATTGGCGTTAATAGTGCTTTTATTTTCAGGAAAGTTTATGTACGAAGAATACACTAGAGCAAAACCAAAATAAAAAAATATAACGAGCAACCCCAATGTTTTAAAAATTGTTTTTTACATTTTCTGAATTCATCCCTTCGTTTTAATGAACGGGTGTCTGGGACCAGAAGATATAAAATAAAACATAGGTTGTCGTTCCCTTTTTGGTACTGAATATTATTAAATATGCCCTATAAACTTTACTTATATTCCATTTGGAACTAATCTTCATAAATTAAAACAAAGGTGTGACGTCACCAATACTCATATTTCCGGCAAATCCTATTTTAGCAGGATTATTAGGCATCTATATGACATCTCCATGGTTCCATGTTTATATAAATGCTGAATATTTAAAAATCTGTAAATGAAAATTCATGAAAATAACAAATAAATCTATAAAAAATGAAATTCATTTGAATGGCACACTAACCTAGATAGTTCATTTGAATGCCATCTAATAAATATCATCGCTTAAATTTGCTGACTCGTCAAACATTTCAAAACGTTTTAACAGCTCATCTCCTCCCATCTTATTTTTATAGTGATTTTTAATAAATTATTTTGTGAAACCTCAGTTGGACCTGTTCGTTACCTTTCGCTCTTGAACTATTCATATTAATTGCCACAAAGTTTTTGTTCAATTTTGTATTTAAACATGGCTAAGCAAGATCAAGTTTTGATTCTGAATCCGCCTTCGGAAATTAAATTCACAGGTTTTTAAATTCAATGGTTTGGCTAGAGGTTTTTATTTCAAAAAAATTAAAAAAAATTCAATTTCCTAGAACACCTAATAAAATGCAACATTTTACATTAACTTTTTTAAATTGACAAAATCAAAAAACGATCATCAATTTTTCAATCACTTTTTTTTGGTTTTCAAATTTTTTAGGACCCTTCACGGAAATTGTGCAGACTGATTTGGAATTGACCAACCCTTCTTCAAGAAAAGTTATGTTCAAAGTAAAAACCACTGCTCCCAAAAGGTATTGTGTGAGACCTAACAGTGGAATTATTGAACCTGGAGCTAAGCTCTCAATTACATGTTTGATTTTTCTTTATTTCATTTGTTTTATATTTTTATAAAATTCTTGCAATTGTAAGTAATTAATAAAGTAAATATAAAATTATAAAGTATAAACTTTAGTTAAAACTAACTAAATTGGGATATTATTAAATTAATTTAATTAATAAAGGTTCTCTGTACATTGATAACCTTATCTTAAATCTATTTTTTCAAATGCAAAAATATTACACATTACTAAGTCATATTTTTATTAATTTTTTTCAATTGCTAGGTTGTCTAAAACTAATTAATATTATTCATATTATATAGTTACTTAGAACTAATATAGTAAGATGAATGAATTGTTATTTTTTGTAGCTTTCTACTTGTATGTGTTTTATAATTGTATTTTGAAGTAAGGTTTGAACATTTTGACTTTAAAATTTGTTAAATAAGTAAATATGTGATCAATGAGATAAAAGCAATGTGTGTAACAACTAGTAAGCTCTTCCTATTTCTCAGTAGTCCACCATTTTGCTTACCTGTCACCAATCAAATCAAATTAATGGAAAAAACTTATAAATTATTTAATCAGTATTAATTTTACGGTTATCATTTTGGGTTAGGGTTAGATTATACATATACATACATTAAATTAGGATGTGAGTTTACACGTTTTTGTAATTATATTAATCCTTGATATTATTCATTAATATTAATTAAATATAAAATTTCATTATTTTGAATAATAATTAATGTGTCAACATGATTTTTGATCACAAAAGTGATGTTGCAGCCGTACAACCACGAACAGCAGAACGAAAAGAACAAGCACAAGTTCATGGTTCAGTCAATGTTTGCCCCTGATGGCCACATCGAAAATCCCGAAACTCTTGTTAGATATTTCACATTCTTTTTTTTCAGAGATCATGATACAAATTATTTTTATAATATTTTGCTAGTCTACAGGTATGCTAATGCTAAATTATAATTATATATAAATAAATAAATAAATTTGTTTAATGTTTCATAAATAATCTCTGTATTATAAACAGTTCAGCTCTGTTTGGTTTTTAGTAGATAATAAGTAGATAAATAACAAAATGGCTAACGAAAAGATGGATAAACATTGTTTTAAAACTTGTTTAACAGTGTTTGTGGAAGATTTCTTTTCTCCTTATATTGTTGATAACTTTTGATGAAGAGCATTTTATAATATAATATTGTTTTCCACAACAAATATATTTCCATCTATATCTACTATTTGCAATTTAAATTTTTAAAGTTAAGACATTAATTTAATTAACCTAAAACACTTTGTGAATGGCCTGTTAATCTGCAATTACTTTTTTGATTTTGAATTTTTTGTCTCCTCTTACTCAATCTCATTTTCTGTTTCCTATAGCTATTAGCTTTAATAAATAATAATAATGTTCTTGATAGAATAAATGCTGGAAGTCTTTATTTTTGCTTTTGAGTACATTAGTCAATGATCAAATTAGCTGACTAGTGCATTGATTGCCATCATATTTAAAGTCTTTTTGTTTTTTTCTTTGTTCTCTAAAAATGCTACCTATGACCATGTTTGATATGTAATTTTGAGATGGTGTCAATTGTTATTTTTTAAGTTTCTCTACTATCTGGCTCAAGTTTTTTTCATTTGAAATGAATGAGTTTCAAATTTTGATGTTTCTAATTTGCTTGCCGATGATATTTTTTTTTTTCATTTACCCATTTAAAATTCACTTTATATATAGGTTAATTGTTTTCAAAACCGTTTCAGTCTTCAAAAGTCTTCAGTAGCTTCAAATTTGCTCTCTTTACTACATTTTTTCATTTAATTTTTTGCAAATTTTTTCTCAAACTATTTGGACTTTAAATTTCTGATTACTTTAGTGTGTAGTGTGTTTAATCTACAATTTATGTGACTTCTATTTATAATTGTTTTTGCAACCACTAATATTTCATTGTTGAGCTAATTCAACTGAACTAGTGACTTAACAGCTGACAAATTATTTATATATAGCAGAAAAAATAGTCTAAATTCTTCTACTTATGATGTCACATTCATTTTAGTGCTTTCCTGATTAATCATGGTACATTTCCTTAATTTGAATTGCTAACAAAATCAATTGTTGTGTTAATGTATTATTTATAAAGCTACTTTTCAAGTCATGGTTATGGAATTGCTTTCAAAAATTTTTTTTCATATTTTAGTCACAAACCTCATAAATACAAATTAATGGATAATCAGATGTCCTGTGAAATGTTTTCAATTGATATGGAAGTTTATAAGATATAATTTAACACAATATATAATTTTTTGCAGTGGAAAGAAGCTTCTCCTGATGTTTTGATGGATGCAAAGCTTCGTTGTGTTTTCGAAGATCCAACTGTGAGAATATTCACTAACAATTTATAATTATCCATCTAATCATGTTTAGCTAATTCATTGCTAATTATTCAATTTTCAATGTGTTATGGCGATTCAAATATGGTAACATTTGAGATGTTTATTAACAGTTAAACAACAGTGAGGTATTAAAAGTTGTCAAAAGATTGACAATATTAAACTGAGCAAGATGATGTAAGGGTTTGCCTGCGTTCCTAAATATATTGCTGGTAATCGAACTATTCTCTTTAAAAAAAATTAGCATGTTTTTAATTTTTGCAGAGCAGATATTTTCTCTGATCATGTTGTCTTTCTTCAATTTGTCTCCTAATGGTCTTCCTCAGTTGTACTGTCTGACAACAACTTGGAAAAATTGATTCTACTGTTAACTATCAATACAAGATATTTCAAATTGACTCTCAATTTCAGTGGTGACTTCAAAGACTCAGTTAATGACTTTGAAGTCGCATTTGACTCTTAATATATTCTATAAACCCTATTCAAACATTTTTTATTGAATGAGATTTTGAATTATCTACCAGTTGATAACAGACGATGGAAATTGGAGACAAAATAAAGCACATTCTTTGTCACTGGAGATAAATCAAAAAATGGACTTTCAAAAATGTTGTAACTGTTTTTACTACGAATAATAACACATGCTTCACCGAGCAAGTGTTATTTTATTAGTTATCCTTGCCGTTTCTGTAATGTTGAAATCATAAATTTGAATGTTTGTTATGTACATAAAAGGATGACGATCAAGGCAAACCTCGTATCATCCTGCTCATTCTTTGTGGCATACCTGATTCTAACTTTTGAAATGATTGTTTACATTGGATAATTTCTGTCAGCTCATGTTTCACTTTCAACCAGTATCCTACCTCATAACATTTTAAACTGATATATCACAATATTTCAAATCATTTTTTTAATCATGCACATTATCAAGACTAGCACAAAGAGTGGGACTGGGGACAGTAATGGAGGAATTCCGGTTTCTAAAGTGAAATCTGAGTTTCCATCCCAACAACAACGTGATGTAAGTGTTTTTGTTTGTTAAAGGTTAAATGTTTGGATAAATATTATTCTTTGCTTATTATATGGTTATAAATATATATTAATGTGCTTAATTCAAAATTATTCGAAGGATCCTAAGAATTTTATCACATTTCTCCCTTCAATATTTTTTAATGTGAAGTTAACTTTTAACTCTAAACACAAGTCTCAAGTTCACGTGGTTACTCAAAAAATGTGTCCTAGGTTATACACAAATTTTTTTTTTTTCGCATAGATGTAGTTTTTACAGTTATGTTTATTTCTTTTAAAAAATATTTTATGAAAATATTTATTTGACAAAATATTGAATTACTGCTTTTGAAACGCAATTGCATGAGATAAACAACACATAAAATTTTTTGCCATCAACTTGGAGCAAAACCCATTTGATCCCATTTTAGATAAATAAAAAAATTCTTTGCAGGCGTCAAGTAATGCACATGCCGAGAAACGAACAGTGCATCAACAGCAAATGAATCTTTCAGCCACATCATCATCTACAAAAGCCAACCTTATTGATGAAATTCAGTTTTTGAAATCAGAAAACGCCAAACTTAATGTAAGCTCAATTTCTGAATAATGATTAGTGAACTGCTTGAATTTATTTTTTGTTTTTTAACACTTTGAAATAAGAATCTTAATAATTATTTCGGAAGGAGGAGAAGGAAAGACTGTCTACATTGGCATTGAGTCAGTCTTTTACATCAATGTCAACAGATGAATTGGCTTTTCGATCTAAGGACAGTTCGGCCTCAGTTGCAGTTGGAACATCAAATGTAGCTTTTATTCCTGTGAATGTTATCATCATCATACTTTTTATTATTCTCGGTGTAATTCTTGGTAAAATTATGTTGTAATGGATTCATCGGCCAGTTGGTCGACTGTTTCACCATAATTTATAATAATCAGCTACCGATTAATGATTACTACAATCGTTATTGCATATTATTTTACACTGACTATATTATTATCTAAAAATCATAATTGTGCAGTTAATCATTGTGCAATTTCTGAGTTGAATGGCGCTTGTTTGAGTTGAATGGAACAACTTGTTCTATCAGACAATTATTTCTGGTTTTATTAGCTGATGGTACAGCTAATAAAATCTAAATTATTTTCATAAATATTTTGGATGTAACACATTGCTATTGTTTTGCACACAATGCTTTGGTTGCATTTAAAATTATTTATTGTTAAAATTTGTTCCTTCTTTATAAATACTTTTGGCCAACCAGTTACAAAATGACATAAGATTAATTTTTATGCATATTTTATTTAATAAATTTTTCTCTAAGTTATATCCCATTGTTGATTGAATGAATTCATCAGTTTCTGAATGCAGACAGTACCTACATGAATAATCTTGAACAGCGCATTCAAAGTTCAAGCCATTAATTCTGAATTTTGAAATTATTTTTGTGAATTTCGTTTTTATCATTTAAAAACATAACAAATTTTTATCTTAATGCGTTAGACAAATTTAATAGTCTGCAGCTCTTCACAACTATTTAATACCACGTTAGTATTTATTTTTTAGTGGAGAAGGGTTTTATTCGCTATATTTTTTTCGATTTATGAATTTCTTCACTCTTGGCTTGAAATAATTGTTTAATTTTATAATTTATCTAAAGCATTTCTAAAAATGATCTAGATTAAAAATAAAGGAAAAAAATTAAATCCTGCCAATACTTTGTAACCTATCTTGGAGATAGAAGTGAAAATTGAAAATAAATAAGGACCCAGAAAAATTTGCAGATAGTAAAACTAAAAATAATCATGTTATGTTGGTTCATTGTCAAAAAACTGAAATTTAATTAATGTTCTACATGCCACTTATGTAATTCATTGGGTCACTGATTTAAATAGTTCTCCATCCAGTTGAAACAAGTTCAGCTGTGTAAAATATTTAGTAGATAAAAAAAAATCATAAGTAATTGTAAGTAAATCATAAGTAGATAAGTTATCATTAGTTATCAATCAAGGTGCAGCATCAAAAATTACGAGTCTCTCTAATCTAAACGATTTTTTATTCGTTTTGTAACTTCTCTAGAGACTAGAGTATCACTTAATCTTAATGTATTAATAGTTAATAGCATTACAAAAAAACAATTCTTATAATGATAATCGTTTTGGATTCTATCTACTCAAGACTTGCCAAGTGAACTAAATTTTGTGGTTGGAAGCGACGAGTTTTAGAATTCAATTGATATCGACCGGCCTGCCGGAAAATTTGTAAAAAAAAAGATGTAATTCTAATTTGGACTTGAGGCCGGTCGAGTACGAGTATGTGGTTCTGCTAGTATCTCTCGAATCTAAAGCTAAATGCCAAGACAAAAGACGTACAAAAATAATGAAAGATAGGTAGAGCAGAATGCAAGGAAATGACGACCAAAAATTAGAGTAAACAAGTACATCGTAAAAGTGCTTCAAAAATTTAATTGTTTACGTGTTGTAAAACAGCAAAGACATAAGCAGAACCTCCTTATCTCATTGGTCGATAATTTCAATTTAAACATTTATGTCCTATCGTGAAATGTTTTTGATTCTTTGTATAGTATCTTTATATAAGAAGTCAATTAATTATTTAGATTTTCATTATTATAGTTAAGAAGTTAATTAAGTTTAATTTAAGTTGTCGTGAAAATTGGCTAATTGATTTCAGAAGCACTATTTTTAGTTTAAAAATAAATTTTGTGTCGTGTTTTTCGTCGAAGAAATAATTTTGGTGGGACTTGTTTCAGTTTGAGTGAATGAAAATTATTTCGCTGCCATGTTCGTTCACCTAAAGCTCGCTTGTGGTAAGTTGGAAAATTATTATACATTAATTAAAAAAATATTTTTGTTTGCTCTATATTTAGTTCGATTTCAATAAATAAATAATTTAATGTTTTAGAGACAGTGTTTATATCATAATTTTCATTTCACGATCATGTATTATTTCATTACGTGCTTATTCGTTGTAAGGATGTGCGCGTGCAACCGCGGTATTGTATTTTTTTATTTTAATTATTTATTGCAGATGTTTTTTATACATAGATATTTTTAATTGTAGATTTATATGTATATATAAATATATTTAATTATGAACATTTTATTAATTTACAGACTTCCGAAAGTAATAATTGTTTATCTCGTGTGTACGGCATGAAATGAAATAAACCTACTTTGCAAATAACTTACGAACGCTTAAAATACTGATTATTTACACAAGATGCCTATGGTCAAACACACTGCGGATAGATCAAGTGCAAATAAACTACTTATGCATTGTGAACATTGTGATTTCACCTGCACATTTGCCAGCCAAATGATTCAACATAGAAAGAACCATTCCAATGAAATTAAAAATGTTTTAAACATTAATGTACATTTAGCCAACAATGATAAGCCATCTCCAACTCAGCACAACAAAATCAGAGAAAAAGCAGAAGCAAAAGCCTCAAATCAGCAATCTGATTTTAAAAAAGAAATCACTCTAAAAAAAATCAACTTTAACTCTTCAAATCAGGTGAAACTTAATGAAACAGCATCCAGCACTGCATATGATTTAAAAAGTTGTACTCCCAGCTCAGCAAAATTCATAGTTAAAAAGATTATTCCTATAATAGCCAAGCAGAATGAAACAGTGTTAAATAATGTACATAAAACTTTGCTAATACATGGTGATAAAAAGATGCAAAATGATAGTACAGCAATTGAAAAACTTCCATCTCTCAAGTCACCATCAGCATGTGATCAATGTGACTTTGTTGCTAAAAATAAAAGTGATCTGGCTGCTCACAAACTTGAACATGAAGTTTTATTTTCTTGTTCAGAATGCGAATACACAACACAAAGAAGAAAACATTTTGAAAGACATGAGTGGTGCCATGCAGTCGACTATCCTTTCAAATGTGAATATTGTAGTTTCTCGTCAAATACAGAAATCGCAGTTAAAAGACATGTAGCTTCATTTCACATTTCACTAAAAAACAAAAAGAACATACAAAAAAGAACTGATAACATTGAGTCAGTTGTACCTGTAAAAATTTTGAAAGTGGACACAAATTCTGTTTCTACAAATTTGTCAAAATTGCATGACGAGGTTGTTATAGAATGCAAAGAAGTTGATGGATCAACAAGATGGCATTGTCATATCTGCAATATGGATTTTGATGATCGACAATCAGTCATCAATCATACTAAACTAATGCATGATAAATTTTTCAAAGATTGCGTTATTATAGGAAAGGTGAAATCTACTAGCTTGAATGACAGTCAGTTAAGCAACAGTTCAGACAATTCAAACTCTATTGGTGATAAAAATCATTCCATGCATAAGATTAAAACAATTGTAATGAATAAATCCGAGAAAGATCAATCATCTAGTAATATATGTAAGAATGTTTTTAAGTGTGCACATTGTGTGTATGTTACAGATCACTTTGATAAGTTGAAACATCATCTCGAACATGAATCTAACAACCCAAACCATGCAGCTAAAACAACTATAAAAATAAATACTGAAGATTATGTTGTTGAAAAATCGCAAAGTTTTATTTCTCCCAAAATATTGGAAAACGATGCTTATAAAAATGATTTGAAAAAAATATCTCCTGATAATATGAAAAAGAATTTATATAGCGATGATGAAGTTAGTTTGATAGATAATCTTTCCTCAGAAATGAAGAGTCCACTTGAATATGGTGAAGTTGATGACAAACTGCTTCCATTGGTTGACAAATTGAAAGTCAAATGTTTACTCTGTAGATACATGACGTATTCAGCTAAATGTTTAAAAAAGCATTTGCTAAAAGAACACACGAGCATTGTTATCAACAAGAAACTTTTGCAGGAATTTACTAGGAAGTGTTTTCTACATTCTTTGGAAATTGCTTCTAAGAAAAGTAAAAATAAGATTCAGACTCATGATAAACCTAGCTTATCCAATTCAGAAAACAGTATGGATGAATCTGCTTCAAATGATAAGACTACTGAAGATCTTATGTTGCAAATGTCAGTTCAATCAGAAACTATCAAAATTTCCCCTATCAAAGAAGCAGTCTTTAAAAATAATAACATTTCAAGCACACGGCCTAATGTCTTCAAATGTTCAGTGTGCAGTCGAACATCAAATTTCAAATGCAATATCAAGAAACACATAGAAGCTGTCCATCCAAATGCCACGATGATTCATTACAAAAATAAAATGGGGCCAGATGGCAATAAATTGATTCTAGTCAGTGATGAAAAGTTGGCTACCAAAGAATTAGAAAAACTTCCCTTATTACAAAACGAACCAATCTCAACCGTGAAAATTGAAACTGATGAAGCAGCTCCTAAAAGTATTAAAACAAATCAGGGATCAGAAGTCAAGGTTACTAAAATTGGAATGGCAGATGATTTGAGAATAAAAAGATTTAAATGCTCAGTTTGTCCATATCGTTCTAACTTTAGAAACAACATTGGCAGTCATGTGAACATGCGACATAAAAATTTTGCAGGGGCTCACTTTTATGTCATGTCTGTTGAGGAAGCTAAAGAAACACTTCCATTTTACAATTACAAGAGGTATGATTTTGAGTTGTATTCTAATGAGGGTGGGAGTTCTAGAAAACAAAATGGTCTTGTGAAGGAAAGTGTTCCTAAGGAGGATTCATGTGACATTGATGAAACAAACTTTGTGGTTGCACTGAAAGATTTTTATGAAGACGAGCTTAAGAAGTGCAGGATTTGTCCATTCACAACAAAAAAGTCAGAAATTTTGAAACTCCACATGAACTATCATCAACCGCAGAAAAGAAACTTGTTAAGTTGTCCATACTGTCCATTCTATGTAAACACAACTCGTCTGATGAGGCACCACCTGGCTCTCCATGAGGGGTCCACCAACAACCGAACAACAAATGGTAATCAAATCAGCAGCTCAAACAACATTGGCTCATTAACATCTGGCAACAGCAATTATTTTGCTTCAAATGTCGTCACCACAGCTGATGGTACTCTTGATCAAAATACGCTGAAAAATGTCTTCAACTGGAATATATTCATAAACAATGTTAAGTCAGTTATTCTTGTTTAATTTTTTCATTTTTAAATATCTCTGTTTTTTATTTAGAGCTGTATTAATTTTTTTAAAATTTCATCTCAAGCTCGTTATCTAGACAACCATTCATTTTGTTTAAATGTTTTATTCAGGTTTTGTAGGGCAAAATACATATGTGAGCTATGTCCCTTCACAAGTGATGAGAGAGGTGACTATTGGTACCACAGGAAATGTCACATTTACAGAGATGACAGGGCAAACCATTTCAAATGTGAGAAGTGTTTGTATTGGGCTGAAGATAAGAAAGATTTTACTCAGCACACTTTGCTGCATGATTTAATGTTAGTTGAAAATTTAAGATCGTTTCTATTTTATTTGATTAGATTGAACGTTTTTGGTATCCATTAATTTAGTGTTGTTTTGTTATACAATGTTTATTCACTATTTAACCAATTAATTTTTGTTATTCATTCATGGACTATATCTTCATTTTTTTAATCATTTCAAGTAGCTACTCTCCTAAAGTGAAGCTCAATCAATCTGACTTGTCGATTGGAGAATTCTGCCGATGTGATTTGGCAAATTTTCTGAATTTTTCTGATTTGGCTTGCTTCAAGCAGCTTGTTTGCAATTACTGTAGCTACAAGTGCAGCAGTGTTCAGCTGATGAGACAGCATGCAGTCACTCACGTTGCATTCTCGGATGCCAGCAACACGAGGTTGTTCGTGTCTGATCTAGATGATGCTGATGAGGTCATTGGCAACCTATGCAGTCGACTCCTCAACATGAATTATTCGTTAGCTGAGGAATCTTTTGATGTCAACAAACAACCACAACCTTCAAACAACATGAGTAAGTTGAGTATTGATTGCGACGGTGGCGACCACATGGACGGTGTCAGTCAGAAAGTATATGCTCCTCATTATAATGCTGACGACAACGAAAATATGGAGATGCCCGTGTTAGAGAAGATTAGTGATTTGGAGCCGGGAATATACGATCCGCATGAACTGCCTCTCCATCTGTCTGCTTCCTCTCCATGCTGTTCACCATTGATTGATCAGATGGAGGAAGTTGTGAGTCTCGATATCATCCAGGAAACTTCTTCCGAAGTCTCAGTAAAGATAATTGATGACGATGACATTGAACAGGACATGGGCATCAATGAACTATCAATAGAAAAATCACAGGCTGCTGGTGGGAGTAAACAATGGGTTGCAACGTCGAATGTGCGTGCAATAAGTTATGGATGTGATTGGATGATGGAGGACTGGAGTACTGATGACACAAAGGTTTTGCTAGCTCCAGAGGAAATTGTTAAATGTGAATCTGATGACGAAGTTGCTAATGATTCGATGATTTCTGAAATGGATAATGAGGATAATGATGCTGGAATTGCAAAGTCCAGAACTCCATGCGATTTTGCCAAGATGATTTTCATGAACAGTCTAGGGTTGCTGCCTTCTACATTAAGCTGATCAACTCGTCATCAAAATTTGTTTCAACCTCTCTATAAACTTTGGGTCATGTTTGAGTATTTAATCTTTTTAACGTTTGTTTGTTCACATGGGAAATGTAATAAAGTTCATCTGTGCATTTTGTTTGGATTTCGTTAATTTCATTTCTACACTATCCTTATGAGAAACTGTTCTGTAAATATTAAGGAGACCATCTAATGAACGTGTCTATGAAGTTTACTTTTTGATAAATTTAATGTAGAAAGTGTATCTTTTGTATATATTTTTTTACGATTTGAAACGTGTATAATAATGGAAAAGATTGAATGGATTAAGAATTTGACTAAAAGCTTTTTATTGCTATGGAGAGATTATGTTAATTTTACAATTTGTTTAAACGATGTTTTGTCTTCTACTCTTATTTGTAAACGCGTGTAGTTTTTAACATAGAAATAAAACAAATTAGCAATCGTTTATTTTCATGTTGATATTAAATCCAGAAAACTTGCCCAATAAGTGAATTTGAATGTAGAGCTGACAATTCTAAAGACGCATTTTTGTTCTATTGTCCCGATAAACATAGAAAGCGAGTTTCTTTAACTGTGCTGTCAGCATACATCACGAATGCTTTTCGTTTCATATTTTCTTATAACTAATATTTTGAAATGAAAAACGAAAAGTTGCTGATCGTACGCAAAACGCTAGAAAAACTGAAGAATTTTAATAACAAAAATGAATATAAACACATACACGTAAATTAGCGAGATCCTATGAAGTGATGACAGTCAAATTAAAAACAAATTTCTAAGTTGATAAAGTTTGTAATTTTTATTTACGAGAATTCAATATTTATGATTCGGTTATAATTAACTAATGAGTTGTGGTGAGAAGTACAAAATCCAAGTTATGGTATGTCCAAAGTGTATTATCTCAAAATAGGTTTATTTTATTGCGTGGGAGTTTTCAATAAAAATCGATGTTGGAAGACTACCGATCCAACCATCTTAAGTTTTTTTAAATAATTGATTGTAAGTACAGCAAGAAACATTAATCGGGTTAAAATTTCCTTCTCCCTCGAAAAGAGTTGGTCGAGCTAATCCATTGCTAAAGAATCTGCTTCATTGGTTTCGTTCTTTCTTTCGGTAGCTTTAATCTGTGTCTTTTTGTTGAGCTATCATTTAATTTAAAAAATCACTTGATTGATAAATCTTATTTTTATCGAAATGTGTTTTTTAAGTTTGAGTTAGGGGTTTTCGGTTTTTCCTTTCCAACGCTGTTAGACTACATTTGTTAGTCAAGTCTTCTCACGAAATAGATGCTGTAAGCTTTCAATTATTTCTGTAGCTCTTCGTTGGAATATCTCAAGAATTTTTTACGGGAGAGACACCAGAACTGTGCGCAATAATCCAAATGTAGTCCAAATAAGGATTTGTGCAGTTTTATTTTTACACCTTTGTCCCTACTCAAAATGGAATTTTTATTGGTCACCAGGATTTTATTGGTTTTTGAGCAACTTCTTAACTTTGTCTTTCTGCTTTACAATTTTGTGTGCTAATGACATCTAGTCCTTTTTCTCTCGTTGGTGATCTGCATTATGTTATTTTTACTGAATAACTATTGTGACATTTTCAAAATCAAATAAAATACTGTTTTAACACTTTTTATTTAATCATAAAAGATAACAAGAGCGACTTTGTATCAATCTCACATCATGCATGCAATGAAGACATCGTTTGCTTAATGACCATCTTTCGGGACAGAGTGATGGCCCAGTGGTTCAGGTCGCTTGGTGTTGTTTCGCAGTGCGTGCAGTGATTGAGTTCGAAAATGAAAAAAAAATCCCACGTCCTTCATGTGTGGTGCGTCGTTTATGTACAATATTTGTGCGTCGTTGATTTTTCTGAACCTAGGAAGAGTGTGAAATACCTTTTTCAGATTATTAAAAATTGGAATGCGACGGTTTCAAATCCGGATTGGGATCAAATCCTGAGTTAAAGTAAGATTCTAATTTCTCAAATCTAACGAAAGAGATTCGGTTAAAAGCATCTGTGATTATTGAATAAAATTATGTTAAAAAAAATAGTTAAATTAAATTTTTGAATACAAACTGAGAAGTAGTTTTACAAACTTTTTTGAGTCAAAGTTTCAATTTTTATCAACCCATGCTTTTACTAGAACCAAACCGCTCATTTCTATTTTTTAATCAAATGATAAACGGCGTGGATTAAATTGTGAAGCGCCAAATTGTTGATCGTCCAACCGTGTTGCGTGGGTGCGCCTTTCTAAAGTCAACACGTTTTTGCGTTTCAAATTGTTTTACAACTTCTACTGTTGAAAGCAAATGTTTAAAAAAGTAAATGATCGAACAGAACAAAAACTTCACTTGAAGATGCTAAAAATTATTATTAAATAGTAAAAATATTGATCATATATATTAAAATAATGTAAAAGTTAAAAAATAAAACCGATCCAAAATATTAAAAATAAAAAAATGTTTCAAAATCGCACAAAGTCTCTCACTTCAAATGGAAAACATGAGACGTGCGATTTTCCCCATTAAAACATACCTACTCTTAGAACATGACTGACCTATATACATATGTATGATATATACTCATTTCATAGACAAACTGAGTCACGTCTCAAAAACCGGAATTGCCCAACGTGTCTACTATTGCGTACGTGGCTTAACAAAGAAATGTTATCATTCATCACTGTGTAGGTACGCAAAATTATTGGGCAAGTCGCAGATCAAATTTGTTTAGATATTCTAATTATTCTATAAAAATGGAATTTTCCGTTCTATGTTTTTGGTTTACATTTAGTAAAATAAAGTGTTTTTTTTGCGAAATTTAATTTTAGAGATACTGAAATATTTAAAATCGTTATCGCTTTGATTGTTTTCAATGTTTGCTTTTTATTAGAAAGTGCTAACAAACCATAGCCGATAAGAAGTCGTTCCTCACTAAGTTGCAATTTGACTTTCCGCTCTTCGAGAACTCTGACATTCAAACCACACGACGTACGCTAACACACCAAGCATACGATGGTCTGGAGTTTTGAGCTGACGGCATTCGAACCGCTGGAATAAATACGTCTGTCTAAGATTACTCGTGAGGAGCTGTAAATTAAAACTAAAGAATAACTTCTACGAACCATTTTCGTTTGAATATGCGTAATGCGTCTTACAATTAATGTTTAGAAAAATGAGATTTTGTTGGGTAAATAAAAACTATTTTATGAAATGAGGACAAATATTAATATAAAGATTGAAAGATAAGTTTATTGGATAACTTGACTGTCAATGTTTGACTTAATTGTTACTATTCATATTAATTTTTTTCTTAATGAATTTATTAGAAGTATAGACAACTCACACGACACACACACACACACACACACCACACATACACACACATACACACACACACACAAACAAACACACAGTGCATATGCCTACAACAACACAACCTTGACTTTTTGTTGATGCTTACAAGTTGGTCATTTGCGCAAAACTTGGACATGCTATCAATCAGTTGGCTGTGAGATTCGAATGAAACGCAGTAGGTGTTGCAGGTTTGGAAGATTCGTAATAGAACGATGGTGACGATGATGTTGACAGCGATGTTGATAACGATGATAATAATAATAATAATAATTATTATTATTATTATTAACGGGGTTTAAAGTGGTTCAGAAGACTATGGTCTGTGTTAGAACCACTACTAATTAGATCTCCTAATATCCTATCTGTCCGAGTTTGGCTTTGAAGCTGTTGAGTGAATTCGCAGAGACTGCACCATCGCTTAGCTCGTTCCAGGCGTTGACCACTCTACTGCTGAAGAATCTGCTCTTTATTTTTCCATCCGAGTTTTTGAAAATCTTAAATCTGTGTCCTCGTAGTTTATCACTGTTTACTAGCCTGAAAAATCTCGAGTATGGAGTTGTTTCCCTATTCGTGATCAATTTATATGTTTGGATTAGATCTCCTCTACATCTTCTTTTTTCCAATGATGTCAAGTCGCATTTTTTCAATCTCTCATCGTATTCCATTTTTACGACGATAACAAAGATGAGCTTACATTTCGAGGTCAATTGACAAATTTCGAGTAAACATAACGTACCATTAATGTTATTAAATGTTTGTACGTGTATGTCTAGTGTAGTTGTCATTATAATAGATATAGATTAGTTGCATATAATTGATTGGTTGCATCGATTGTTCGTCTGTTTATACAACATTCTGCTGAGTTTTTCTGATATATCTGATATGTGTTAATAGTTAAAGCTTTCTTCATTTGACTATTATTCTAAAATTTATTCAGCATCCTTTAATATTTAAGATAGAAGATCGACAGTTCATAGTTGAAAGAGCCTAACAGTAAAGAATTAATAATTTGTACCTTGCTCACTACGAGGTAATTATTAAAAGTTGGTTAATTGAGAAGCAGATGTTAGTGAACTAATTGCTCGAGTCCTCACCTTTGATGGTAGTTTTATCTCAATTGATTGTATGTAGCTTATCTTGTGTTAAACATATCAACAGCTACAAAAAGGTTGGATTTCATAATTTAAATCAACTTTGAAAACAGAAATAAAATTATAAATGAAAAGATTACTTTTGGCAGAATTATGAACAGCGTGACATCATTTTTATTGTTACTTGTCTTGTTGTGTTCAAGTGGTTCTCCGGTGAGTTCAGAAGTTCAATGCATTGGTGCTAACAAGAAGCCTGTCGATTGGTTGGTTGGTCGGTTGGTTGGTTGATTGGTTGGTTGGTCGGTTGGTTGATTCTTTGAAATGAAAGTGTGCTTGGCGGCCATTTGAACGTTGATTATTTGTTGAAAGATTAAGCTAATTAGCTTTCATTGATTCAAAATATCATTTATTTTATTCATTGTTCATTTAGCTGATTGTAAAATTTGAGCCGATGTTCCATCACGTTAACAACGTGAAAACTTTTAATAAAATGTTTCAAATAAATGTGCCAATAAAACGAAACAACAAATGAACATGGAGCACATGTACAAACAAACGAAGGTTCGTGGTGTACAAACTGCCTAGCCTGATCCAGAGCGACTTTGCGAGGGATGGGACGGGCATGGCGTACATGGACAGCCAGCTCTCCAGGTGGCTGCTCCTCAACGCCACCATCGACGAACTGCACCAACCAGTGGCGTACACTCTCAACCAAATATATTCAAGGGTGGAGATTAGCAAGGCTAGTTGAAATGTTCAACACTCGTGTTAGTTCGTGTTAGTTCGTGTCAGTTCGTGCAAATTCCTTTTCAAACAATGCTGTAATTATTACTGATTATTTACTTTTTGAAACACTCAAGCCTATAATGGTCAGGTCAGGTGACGTCATCTAAATGAGATTGTGAGCACTTTTGAAACAGGAATGCTTATTTAATTTTGTAATTATACTAATTGTTAAAAAGATCGTCCGAATTATAGCCAACATGTTAAACAACTGAGGTGTTGCTAACATTTTTAATAGAATGCCGAACATTTCGTGAACATCTTCTGTTGTACTTAGGACTTGCTAATTAGAATGAAACATGATTTCAACATATAACAACACCATCATCATTCACATCACTTTCATCATCATCATCATCTCATCAGTTTCTCATTCATCATCGCAACCGATCATGATTATTAGCACTGCCATCGCCAACCAACAAGTAACAATAGCCATGTGAACATCACATCAACAACACTGAACCGTCATCACAACAATAACAGCAAAAATAAAAAATAACAACAACAACATAAATAACATCAAAATAACAACTACAACATATGGACGGGAGTGGACATACCATCTCATTTTCCTTCTAATCCCATCTACATTCCCCTTCCTTTACCATCCCTATACACTAACATAATCCCATTTCCGAAAAATATTCCCAATCCCTCCCGTTCCCCTTCCGTTCGTCGACATCCACTTTCAACTAAGAACATTTTAGCTCAACATAATAAATTCATATGAAACCAACACAAAAAATGTATTAATTTTATTCACACCAAATATTCTACTATCAACATACATA